TCTCGGCCTCTGCTCAGCAGAAGCCTGGAGGCAGGGCAGGAGAGGGTTATGTTTCGTTTTAGGGGGTGGAAATTAAAAAAGCTTAGGGGCAAGGTGGGCTGGGGAGGGAGGAGGGGGCTGAGTCTCAGTGTACACCATTTCCCAGCCAGCAAAGGGCTGCTGTGCATGCACGTATCTCCCAGCACCAGTCACATGAAAGTTCTTTGTAATGTAGTTAATAAATGGAAAGGCACTACAGGACTATGGGAAAAATAGGATGTTGTTAGTGATGGCCAGATTAAGACCACACACACCTTTTGACACCCAATTGCCTGGCCCGGGCAGCATTCCACCCAGTTTTTACCTGTGGGAGAACAGTGGGATCCTGCTCCCCTTTGAAATCCCCAGGATTGCACCTCTGAGTTCAATGGGAGCAGGATTGAGGCCAGAGTCAAGCAAGGGGTGATTAATGAATGTAGGTTATTCAGAGCAGAGCGGTTCCAATTAGTCCTCAGCAAGCAGTCCTGCGGCAAAGGTGGGCGCTCCCCTGCAATGACTCATACAGAGAACCCCAATACTCACTTTGCTTTAGTGAATATTAAAATGTGTACCTTATTTTTTTCCCCTTCACTTGGCCAGTTGGCGTGTTTCAGGCTAAAATTCAAGTGCAGCCTAAGGAAGGTTGCATTTTTTAACGTGCAAAGCAAGATTGTCATCACAATGCCAAACTGGAAGAAAGCTTTTTTCCCCTCTCAGGTTGGGGGTGTGATGGGAATTTTCCCTTTGTCACCCTATTCTAGGAAGTCTGTTTCTAGGAAGGTTTTCTCTTATCTCTCAAATCGTTCAAATAGGATGTTTGGTTTTTTCCCTCCGTGAAAGAAGATACTTCAGGGAGGCAGCAGTGCTCTCCTCGCTCTTCACTACTCAGTGCTCAATTCACAGTACTTTTAAAATCTATTGCCTGCTTCTAACTTTGCTTGCAAGGAAGCCTGAAGTGACAGCAGGGTGTGAGGATGAGACTGGACCAGAAATGGTCCTGCTCTGGGCAGCCTGGTGTTCTGTGCTCCCTTGGGGGCTGCAGCACCACTTCAGCGGGGGCTCTGCTGATGACAGGTCTTGTCCCTTCCCTTCCTTGCTCTCAGCAATGGCAGCAGGAAAGCTTCAGAGTCCCTGCAAAAACACCTGGGCGTCGGTAAAGGCTCAGTCAGGGAAGGGAAGGTGGGAGACAGAATAACGAGCAGCCTTGTCTTTATGAGAGGAGATAATTCCCAGCTCGGCCAATCGCAACCAGTTTACCCACAGATTACACATTAACCAGAAAATGGAACTCAAATTAACCAGAATCTGGAGCTTGAACCATTACTCAAACCCTGGTGCAACAGCAGGTCAGATGCCAAAGGGCAGGTTGGTGCCCCGGCACTGGGGAGGGGTGAGACACAGCATCGGCTTCGGAGAGCAAGCCACTGCTGTCACCAACAGAGAGGCTGGTGTCCACCCCTGCCAAAGGGACCTCAGCGGGAGCAGAGTGACCAGCACCAGCCACTGCCCACTGACACAGGCTGTCGTGGGTGTAAGTGCTGCAGGGGGACTCAGAGCCACACCTTGACCTTGCAGCTCGACCCTTGACAGAGGCTGGACCAGCCAGGCAGAGGGAAGGCAACAGGTCCTGTCCCTTCAGGGCCACCAGCACCCAGGAGGGATGACCTTACTGCTGAGAAGAAGTTGCACCAGCTGCAGGGGGGAAAAACACAAAGGAGAAGAAAAAGGTGTTTGGTTTATGAGCCTGGGTCTGGAGATAACCCCCCCATCCTAGAGAGGCTGGAGCATCCTTCAGAGAGGCCTCTGCCTCTCACAGAAAGGGGACAGATAATCCCATTCAGAGAGCAGGACAGCGCTCTGCCGAGGGACACTGCAGGCTCTCAGGGAAAGGTGGCTTTAAATGAACCGGGTCGAGCATCTGAGGAGCCTTTCAAAGTTCAAATGCCCTTTGACATGGGGAACTGCAGTGAAGAGGGGCTCAGAGACCTGAATGTTTCTAGCACATTAACCTTTGGGGTTGATTGTTTAAAGCAAATAACTCTCAAAAGTTGGAGGAAGTCCTTTGGATTTTTTTTTCCTCCGCTCCTCAGCTCTCTCTGGACTTTCTAAGGCCTGTAGCAAAAGAAAAAACAACAAAACAAAACCAAAAAAAACAAAAACAAAACAAAAAATTCCCCAGGGTAAAAAAAAAAAGAAAAAAGAAGGGTGAAAAAGCAAAGAAAAGAAAAAAGGAGGTAGTATGGACCAAAATGGTAAGAAATTTTTCAGTCTAGAATTAAGTGGCTCTGTGACAAGCCAAGCTTGATGCAGTGTCATCTCTTACTAGAGACAGGCATGCTTAGCTGGGATCAGATGATAAGAGGATGTGAAGTCTTCTCTTTCACTTCACTCCATCATAAAACAATCAAAATACAGGGCCATATCGTGTCATCAGGTTTTTAAGCAGACCTCCCCTTTGAGATCTCCTAGAACTTGGTGGGATGATCTGAGTCACTGAAACTGCCCTCACTGCACTACTGAGAAGTCAGAAGCAGCACCTGAAAGCTCACGTTTTTTTTTTTGTCTACCTGAAAGAGAACTTGAGTCCTAGCAGGTGACATTTTTCCATTTTACACGAAGCTATGCTTTTCCTTCTCCCCTCCTGAACATTTTTGAGTCCAGCTCGTGGGTGAGCATCGCCCCTTCGGCAGGCAGCACGCTGAAGTACTGCGCTCGCAGTTATGGAACTTTGAACTACACACTAAGAAACTGAGTACGGAATCAAAAAAATGCAGTTTATTATTGTAGATTATTCTCTCTTTCGATATAACCATAGAGTTGAAAATGAAAGAAAAGCACATAGGAACATCACACGTGGTTAGTTAGTAACTCAAGATATAAAACAATTTTGCACAGCAAAATATGTAAAAGAAAAAGTAACTGACAAGATTTTTTTATATTTATTGTGGTAAGATTTACTTTCCATTTTTTTTTTAAAAGACAGGATATCAGTCCCTGAAAATAAAATTTACTGATTATTGCCTTTAAAACTGTGGAATTTTTGAAGTTACAGAAAATCCAGTTCTGCACCACAATACAACTGTAAAAAAATCTGCATCATTTTAAAACTGTGCAGTAATGCCATCTTTATAACTGCATAAATTGTATTAGCGTTCTAAACAGGTTCGTAATTTTTTTGTTGTTGTTTTTGTATTATATGCTTGCAGGTTATATCTTAGTGCAATTCAGTCCCAAATACTTCAATTTTGAAAAAAAAAAAAAAAACAACCCATACATTTTTAATGTAAAATACCCCTATAGATATAAACAGGGGTGCCTCCCCCTTTTAATACTTTGGTTTTCAAATACAGTCAGTGGTATAGCAAGGACTACATATACCCAACTTATATTTAAGTTGCAAGCACATGCTGCATAAACTACTTTTTAAAACAGTCCCGTTGCAAATTCTACCCCCCTTTACATCACGACAGTAAACAATTTAGTGCATCAATCTTTAAAAAAAAAAATCTACATCTAAACAGACCTAACTCTTTCGAATTTATCTATAACATTCCTTTATCTGTAGCATACATTTTAACTGGGCTAACAGATGACAGAAACTAGAATTAAATTATATACTAGGAACCCAGAGCATTCCACATTTGACAATGACCAAACGCAAAATGAAAAAAAAAATGGGGCAGATCACTTAAAATTAATTTTAGACTGTTTTTAGGCAACAGCATGGTTTCAATGTCCCCCCCCAAGTGGGATGTGAATTTTGTTTTTGAACATCTTTCCAAAGTTCTTTCTGTGTTTTTGGGGTTTTTTTTATTTTTTTAATTTTTTTTTGCCACATTAGGTTACCAAAATCCATTCTGGCAGGTTTTTTGAGAGGGAATGCTTCAGTGCATTTAAAAGGAAGTCTGAAGTTTTGAGTAACTCAAAGCAGTTTTAGAGCAGATGCAAACTTTAATGGGAGGAAGAGGAGGAGGAAGATCAAAGGTTGCACTTTTTTGCTTTCAACCCAAAAAAGTGATGAGGCAATAAAACAAAAGGATGAATGCCATGCCATAATAGTCTCCAAAAGTCCATTTCCAAGCAAAAGAAAAAAAAAATAATTATACCGTACATGACCAGCATGCAGGGTTTTTTATTAATATAATGTCTCTTTTTCATAGTCTTTTGAAACAGTTATAGTTCATTGTTGCTAAGACAAAATAGCAAGCGTAATGCATGAGATGAGTATGGGATTCTAATGGCAGACTAAAGTCTCACGTTTGGCAGATTAAGGCCAAAACTCACATGAACACACCGAAGGTTGATGCAGGCTTGATTTTGGCAGGTTGATCTAGGCATATCTCTAGTTTTGCACAACAACGCTAAAAACTGATGGAACTCAGCAAGCTGGAGTCTAAAATTTTCACTTTTTTTTTTTTTGTATTTTTTGTTTTGTTTAGTTTTTAAATTTTTTTTTATTTTATTTTTCTTTTTGCAAAGCTCAAATCTCATATGAAGAACTCAGGATGGCAAAAAAAAAATCTGACTTTTTGGACACAGCAAGCTCAAAAGAAAAAAAACCTCATGAACTTAAAAATATATATATATAATGTGGATGGCAGGTTTCAAAGAAGAGCAAGCTTCATATGAAGAACTGAGTTGGTGGCGAGTTTGTATCTTTCAAATTAAAAAAAAAAACACAACAGCAAGCCCCCACAAAAAAAAATTAAAAATAATAATAATAATAATAATAATAAACAGAAAAGAAACTCATGTAGAACTTTAGGTTGGCCAACACGGAGCCAGCCCACCTTAAAAAGAAAAAAAAAACAAAAACAAACACCAACCCAAAAAACAACTTTGTTTTAAAATTGTTTTGAGTTTTTTTTTTCTTTTTTAAAAAAAGGTAATAGAAGGTGGCAAGCGGGGTTGTGGCTCTAGCAAAGCCCCCAACAACAACTCACACGGAGAACTTTTAGTTAAGGTGGCAAGGCTGTGGGAACTCACATGAAAAACTCTGGAGAGGAAGGGTTGTCGCTGCTGGATCCGTTTTCTCTGAAGCCATTGCTGACCAGCTTCTCGTACTTTTCCTTGTAGGCGTCCCTCTCCCGGACCAGCCTGGAGATCTCCTGCTTTAGGTGCTCCACTTGCTGCAGCAGCTGGTTCTTCTCCGACTCCAGGACGTGCCGCTGCTGGACCCTCTTGAAGCGGCAGGACTGGGCATAGCCCCTGTTTTTGAGGGTCCTCCTCTTCTGCTTCAGCCGGATCACCTCTTCCTTGCTGACGCCCCGCAGCTGCCGGTTCAGCTCCCGCACCGACATGGTCACCAGCTGCTCGTCGGAGAAGCGGTCGTCGAAGTGGAGGCCGCCGCCGCCGCCGCCGCCGCCGCCGCCGCCGTGGTGCGGGTGGTGCAGCCCCCCGGCGCCGCCGCCGCCGCCGCCGCCGCCGCCGGAGCCGGAGCCGGCGGCCGAGGAGGCGGAGGAGGGCGGCGCGCTGCCCGGCGCCGCGGCGTGGGGGTGCCCGCCGCCGCCGCCGCCGCCGCCGCCGCCGCCGTGGTGCGGGTGGTGGTGGTGGTGGTGGTAGTGGGGCGCGCCGCCCTGCGCCGCCGCCGCGGCGATCACCGCCGACACCACGGCGGCCGCCGAGCCCATCTCCTCGGCCGGCACGGAGCCGCCGGCGGCCGCGGCCAGCTGCTGCCCTCTAGCATAGCCATCGAAGGCGCCGGGCAGCGGGTGGTGGCTGCTGTTGATCAGCGCCTCCACCGCGTCCTCGGGGCTGAAGCCCAGCGCCTCCGGGTTGAGCTGCTGCGGGTACCCCGTCATCCAGTAGTAGTCTTCCAGGTGGGTCTTCTGGTCGGAGCCGGAGCCGGGGCTGGGCGCCGAGAAGCTGGGGGACGGGGGCACGGAGCTGCAGGGCGTGCTCATCGGGGTGGAGGAGAGCGATCCCCCGGCGATCAGGCGGCCGCACTGGCTGATAATGCGATCGGTCTCCACCGGCTCCTTTTTCACTTCAAACTTCATCAGATCGAAGTCATTAACATATTCCATGGCCAGGGGACTGGTGGGCAGGTCGGAGCTGCTCATCGCCAGCTCTGATGCCATCCTTTTGCTGCCGAGAGTCCTCCAGAAAGGGTGCGCTCCGGGAGCGAGGGGGCTGCTCTGAGTCGCCACCGGGTGAGCCAGCTTGATTTTTGGCGAGCTCCGCTCCGCTCTCCTGCTCTGCCTCCGATCCGGTCCGCCCCGGCGGCTCCTCTCCCGCTCCGCGTTATCCCTCGCAGAGGCTCCGCTGATGCATCAGAGCGCGGGGCTCACGCTATTCGCCTTTTGCATAGAGGGTTTTTTTTTTTCCTCCTCTCTCCCTCCCTTCTCTCTCTCTCTCCTCTCGCTCTTTCGCAGCTCGCGAGCCGCAGCTGGAAGTGTTAGCTGGTGTTGTTGCGAGTAAATTTGTTGTTGTTGTTGTTTTGTTTTGTTATTTTTAACACTTCATGGTGCTTTTCCTCTGGGCTCTCTCCTGCAAAGTGCAGAGCGAGGAGAGAGGTTCATCGGGGGAGGGAGGAGGGAAAGAGAGCGAAGGCAAAAAAATAAAAAAAAAATCAAAGTCTGTATCGCAACCAAAATAATAATAATAATAATAAGAGTTAAAAAAAAAAAAAAGATAGAGAGAGAGAGAAAAAAAAATACAACTCGGCCTCAAAGCTACAGCAAGAAGATGAAAAATATTTAAAGGTTTGATCCGGCAGGAGAGTTTAAAGCATTGCGGAGTTTTATAGCGCCCGTGACGTCAGGCGGGACACGGGCTCGGGGCCGGGCCAATGGGCGCGCGCCGCCCGGCCTCATTAGCATAAGAGTCTAGCGACAGGGAAACTTTGCGGGCTGTCAGTCAGGGCTCAGCTGACTGTCAGCGCCCGCTTAACCCCCTCCTGGCCGCCGGCACCGCGCCTGGGCTCGGCTCGGCTCGGCTCGGCCACCGCCGGCCCGCTCCGCCCGCGCCGCACCGTGCGCGCCCGCGGCGAGCGCCCTGCCCCGGGGCGGAGTGCCCGGGGCTGCCCCTGAGCCCGGCCCGGCACCCGAGGGCGCGGGGGAGCTCCGGGCGGCCGGGACTAGGGAGGGGGAGCGCCGGACGCGGTACTCCGGGGGAGCCGGCAGCGCCCGGGAGGGAGCGGGCAGCGCGGGGCTCCGCCGTGCCCGGCGCGGTACCTGCGGACGTGCGGGCGGCCCTTGCCCCGTGCCGGCCGCGGGTCATCGCTCCGCACCCCCGCAGCGCCCCGGTCACTTATTGATTATTTTCTTACGGGGACGGGGCATCGATCCCTCCATCCCCCACGCCCGCCCGGAGGTGCGAGAGCCCCGCAAGTTTGCAAACCCCGCGCTGCCCCCGCACCCCTCCCGCCGCACCCGGCGTGCGGGCCAGGACTAATTAATTTAATACATTTAGAACTAATTGTATTTACTTTCGCCTCCCCCCCAGCCCCCCTTCCCTTCCCGTTCGGGAGGGGGCTGGGGCCGGTCCGGGGGCCGAGGAGCGGCGGCGGCTGGAGCGGAGCGGCGGAGCGGCGGAGCGGCTCGGTTCGAACCTCGACAGCGCCATCTCTCGTCCGCAGGTCAGTGCCGAGCGCCGGGCCGGGCCGGGACGGGACAGGACAGGACAGGACGGGCCCCCCCCGTCGTGTCCCGCCCGCCCCCGCAGCCGCCGCGGTCCCGCCCGGCCCTGGCTGCACCCGCCGCGTCCCATCTCGGGCTGGGGAGATCCGCAGCCTCCGGGACTGCCAGGCTCGATTTTCCGACCGGGCTTTATGGGAATATCGATAGAATTAAAGTTACTTGTAATTCCGTGATAAATGAGATGTCTCTAGTAAGTAAGATTAAGTGCGGTGCTATAAAGTTGTTTATCTGAAAAGTAATTCTCAGAAACCTGACTTCTGACACTTGGTCATATATTAAACCTGCTTCTTGAACATTGTACTTCAAATCCTCCCTTCTCCCCTAGCCCGGTCCCTTCCCCCCTGGAGTTTGCTATTTATAACCCCGCTCAGGGTATCACTCTGTAGGTGCAGGCAGGGCTCTGGGTGATTTTTCACCGACTGTGAAAGTCATCATTTGCAATAGCCAAAGAATCTCTGCTTAGGAAATAGCACTTGGCGAGTGGATTTACGAATGGATAACATCTTCTGACTATGCCATTATCAGTGTGAGTGCCAGTACTAACATCTGAAAGTCATACAGCATGTACTGTTCCTGGCAGCTGAAAGGGGTAGGGCATACTGCAATTTTAGGAAGATAACTAGATCTAGAAATTATCATAGTGGCAATTCTGTAAAGGTAAAAAATGCTACCAACATTTCTAACAAAACCAAAATACGGTTGTGCACTGTCCCGCAGCACACCCGCACACACAGAGCCATGCACATCTGCAGCTGGATCTTAGAGATGGTGATCCATGACAAAGTTAATGCAAGTTAACTGCTCGGGCTGACTTTCCTATTTCTTCACTTTGTTGGAATCAACAAAACTTCAGGCTCACAGCATAAATCCCCCCAGGAGAGGCCACTTCCCTGTATTTTTTTTTCTCCCGAGCAAGATGAATGTAGAACTATATACCCCTTAACATGCTTACCTGTGAGAGACATAAAGTGTGTGCTAATATTTTTAAATGAAAAATTTAAAATTTGGTGATTGCATTTCAGAATGTACAGTTGTAGTATTTCCCTAGGCCGTGTGGTAGATGGCTATGGAAATGTGGCTCCAGCCCCATAAAACAGTTTGTTTGGATGTGAAAATTCAAAGTGCTACATTTGCAAATGAGTAAATTTCCTGAGTAAACTCTGAACTCTAGACAAAGAGTATGAAATTGTGTGAGCTAATGGGGACCGTCTCTTAATTGATACCAATGTAAGCAAGTACTGCAAATTAATTGAAGCTCTGACCTACCAGAGCAGCGAGTAAAATTATTAGTTGGACAATATTGTTCTTGTGTGATTGTTACACAGAACTGCTGCACCAAAATGTCTCTACTGTTCAGTGCAGCAGAGAAAAAAGATTATTAGCAATTTTTGGATAACCTTCAGAAGCAACATTCTCCTCCCTACAGTATATAATTCTCGATTTAGTAGTATTTTTCTTTATTATTTGGCTATTCACAATGGGTGTCTAAACATTTACAGTCCTCTATTAACAGTGTTTCTTCCATAACAATCACACACTTTCATTTCAATTAGAGCTATTCAGTCTCCAGTTTTTCCACAATTATCGCAGGCCAATTCCCTGAGACTTCTCCCTTTTCCCAGCACTGTTTGTAACAATCCTGCCCCGAGCCAGGAAGAGGGAAAACTCCTCTGTCCCTCTCACAGCTTCTTGCTCCGGTTTGTTTTCAAGCATCTCCGTTCAACGACGTACCCATGGAGCCCTGCTCGCTCCCAGCGTGCTGCTGACCCGGTTCCTGAGCCTCCAAACTAATGTATATTTATTGTGGGAGAGTTTTCTGACAGACCGTGCAGGGGGACGTGAAACATTAACTGCAGAGCCTCTGGGGTCGGCCTGCGTGGAGCACGCCAGCAGCAGAGGCAGAGCCTGCACCGCTGGAGCGCGTGTGCCTGTCCCACACACCACATCCAGCAGGAGCAAACGTGCAGCTTTCGTGTTATATGGACTCACAGAGTCATTTGTTATAACTTGAACACGTATCAAGACCAACACATTAAGTACAGTTACTGCTCCTTTTGTTTATCTAGTGTCTTATTTTATGGTGTGGAACTAAACAGTGTCCGCTGAATTTAACTATGAAACCAGCCCAACTGATTTCAGAAAGACTTCTGCAGGGTAACAGAGTGATAAGGCATAAACTACTCCTAGGTGCAGAGCTAGATAAATCCTTTTAACAGTCTTCAGATCAGTTAACAGGGTAAGTAAATCACATATCACTGTTAGCAGATTTATGGGAGAGAATTAATAGAATCAGACGAGATAATCTGGTAGGGATAAAATTGCTGAGGAAACAGTCCTGCCTTATATTGGAGGGTATGAAACAACAGTCTGATTACTGGGAGTCGTTATGGATTGCTGAATTATGAGCTAAATCATCATACGAGTAATTCAGTATTTATTAATTCTTTTCTCTTTAAACAACTCACAGATGCAAATAAAAGCCTCTCTCTCTTTGAAGACCCATTCTTTATATATTTTTATTGGATGTAATTTACTGTTTGCATTACCTGTATTTACTTCATAATTGAACATTTTGCATTCAAATTTATGTAATGCATTATGCTTGAGAATATATTTCTCCCTTATTAGCATAAATAGTCACTTACCTCATGAATTACTAACAAAGTTTATCTGAAAATATAAGTATATTTTTTATTAAGTGGAACACAAACATATGTACAATAAATTCTGATTTGCCAGTAGTTGTTACAGAAACACAGAACAACCCTGTATCAGAGAAGAGGGAAAAGAAGGAGCAGCGAAGAAGCAGAACCAATTACTGTGTGTGTATATGTGACAATAATTTCTTCTGTCGACATTTTGTTTATTTTTAATAAAGAGTGAGTGACTCAAAAGGTTTGCTTTAGAAGGAGCAGATGAAAAAGTATCACCTGGATGAATTTCTTCTCTCTCTTCCCCCAAAATTTTCTGGTGGACTGGGCTCCCTGGTGCTGTGCCACTGCAGCCTTTGCTCCAGCTGAGCTCCTGCTGACCCGCTGCACGCCAGGAATGAATGCTGCTCTACACTCACCTTCTCATACATTTCCCTTTTTTCCCCTAATCCTGTTTTTATGCTTGGGTTTATGTCCCAATAATCAATATAATTTAGGCCCATTCTGCAGTATCAACACAACCTTGCTTATTCAGAGAAAACCCCAACCCTATTGACTTCAAAAACGGTGGGATTGAATCCTTGATCCCATTGAAACCAATGACAAAACTTGTATTGATTTCAGTGGAAGCAGGATCAGGTCCTTGATGTTAGCAATTTGTTTATGTCAGAGGGCTGATCCTACAAGAAATGAAAGACAGCAGCAGATCTGCTGGCAGGAAATCAGGTCTGCTCCCCAAAATCCAAAGGCAGAGCTGTGGTGGATCTCCTTTATGCTGAGGTTTTAGCA